TTTACTGCACTAGTGCCATGTAACTCTAGCAGAAGTCAGCCGCTTAAAATAACTCTTGTCGGAACTACCCACTCGTCATTGAGATTTGCACTTGCCTTAATTTCTTGTAATAGCTTGTTACGTGTTGTATTTCCGCTAGTAAATGCCATGTGATGAAGTCGACAGTCAAACTGGGCAACATGAGCCAGAACGTAAGATGTGACGATTTCTTCGTGGTCAGATCTTCCATCGAGGTAACAGAGACGTTATTACACGACTTACGTATGCTGCATTCACGCTCTTGTGGCGTACCACTACTAGTATTCTGATCTGCATCATGTTTTTTTGCTGTACTTCGAACATGTTCAAACACGTCACGCCAGTGAGAGTAGAGTCCTGATCTCACTTCTGATGTCGGAGCACGCCAGGTATGGCTGAGCGGTAGGTTCCGTCATCACTCGTATTTGATTGAACACAGTTTATAAAAAGTCAATAAAACCTTTTGAATAATAATTATTGAAACTCAACACACACAACTTTCACAATGACAGGGTAAACCGACAGTTCCGTTGCACATACCGACAGACCGACTGACTGACTGACAGAGACTCACTGACTGAGACGGACAGAATTACTGTCTGACACGGAATGCCACGACTCTGTCCACGTACCGCCATTTTATACTGTGGCGTTACGGAGTCTACCCTTCATTTTGTGATATTTATCAAAATAACATTTCATCATTTAAAATAATAATCAAAACCACAGTCTTAATATTACTAAAAGTCGTTATCCACGACATATAATTCATTGTAAATTTCATCTTGTGCTTGTGCATCCGAACTGAAAATTAAATTAATTGTCGAAAAATATTAAACTATAAATTGAAATTGCGAATGTTTTGTATGCGATAATTAGTAAAGATAATTTACCAGTTCATGTTGACGCTAGATACGATAAAATGAATCGAAGATAAATTTTAGATATCACAAGCACCTACTAATACGATGTAACAGTAATAAGTAATTGTTCATTCGGTGGAAAACGTCGGTGACCATGTCTGTTCGAGCGTTATCTCCAGAGTTAGCAGAAAAAGCCCGCAAAGAGTTAAATGAAGATCCAAGCAGGATTAATAGTGACATTCAACACTTAAAGGACTGGTTGTCCAAACAGCCACATTTACGCGCTAGGACAGGTATGTTGCGACATTAGCTATTTTTGTGTATTTTATTTTAAATTACTGGGAAAAACAAACATTGTCACAGTAGAAAGTACCACAATATTTCACAAATACAAGGATCGAACTATAATAATACCTATAGTTTCGTCAGGGAGGTAAAACTTAATTTAGTTTTTTTGTCAAATTATCGCCTTATAATCTAATATAGTTACTTAGTCTGGCCATAAATACTGTTACAAAGGAAAAAAAAATCTATTGCAAATAACATTTATTACTTTTACAGTGTGTTAGTTTAATACATAAATATGAAACAATTTAAAGTATAAAAAGCTTATTCGAAGTGGTCTCCGTTGGCTGCAATACAGTTCTTTAAACGTTGAGGCCAGTTATAGAAGCACGCACTCTTTACATGGGAAAAATGTTCACTGCCAATCGTACGAATTGTTTTAGGGACTCCAAATTATCATGACGTTTAGAGCCAGCCGTACTTTCTAAAACTGACCATAAATCATAATCCAGCGGATTAAGATCGGGACTAGACGACGGCCAGTCTTCAGCTCTGATCAAGTCCGAAACGTTCGTTTCCAATCAAGACTGCGTAGACCGAGCTTTATGACTTGGCGCCGAGTCTTGCTGGAAGGACCATTCTTGATTATTGAACACGATGTTGTTAAGGGGCTTCACTACCTTCTCAAGAATGGTATCTTGATACACTTGTGCCGATGTTTCGATACCTTTTTCACAAAAATAAGGCTCAGTCACTCCTTCATAGCTAATACCCCACCAAACCATCACTGAAGTCGGATAGTGCCCACGTTGCACTCTGTCGACTTATTGGGAAGCTTCCTTAGAGCTTTGAGCATAAAGACGGTCATTTTGTTTGTTAAAATGTTGCTCAATTGTAAAAGAATTCTCATCCGTAAACAAAATTTTTCTATGACCTCCCTTTGCGTACTGCTTCAGTAGTTGTTTCGATTTTACCACCCTATTCTCTTATAAACTATCAGTTAAGAAATAACCAGTAGGATTCTTATAGGCTGCAAGTCCTAAGTCATCTTATAAAATACGCGACATGGTTCTAGGTGCTATCTTCATCTCCTGAGATAAAATCTTTTGCTTTCGGACAGGATTTCTTCGAATTCTTTCCCTTACTGCTTTGACTACCTTTTTCGTACGAACACTACGTGGACGGCCAGATCCTTTCTGTCACAAACAGAGGAGGTCTCATTGCACCTATTAATAGCCCGGTACACAAACATTTTACTAATACCAAGCGTATGGAGAGTTTTAAAAATTGCATTTGGCTCCATACCTACTTTGTGGAATGCAATCACAGCGATTCGGTTCTTTTTATCACCCCACTCCATTTTAATATCGCAAAATGTTGTACAATGTATTGGCGCCAAAATGAGAAAACTCAATGAGCAATCATATAAAAATGACAGATTCCAAAGCCAAATGTAATATTTTGTTTATTTTTAATTGTAAGAGTACTTATGGCCAGACTAAGCATTCCTGAAATTATTTTAATATTTTAATGTAATTTTAAAGTATAGCACCTATATATTTTAAATTTGTTATAAAAATAGGCATAAATTGATCGCAAGTTATTTTATTTGCCTTATCATGTCCTTGTTTGCTTCACGACTAGAGTTTTAGAGATAATGACAATGGCCAGATAATTCTTGCACGTAACTTTGTTATACATCAATGACAGAGTTATGAACAAAATGCAATTGTATTTTTTATTTCAGACGATCAATGGCTTTTATCATTTCTGCGAGGATGCAAGTTCAGCTTGGAAAGGACGAAGGAAAAATTGGATTTATATTATTCCGTTCGTACAACTGCGCCAGAATTATTCAGTATAAAGCCCAGCAATCCATTATTTGATGAAATATTAAGTTCGGGGTAACTGTTCTGATTTAATTTTAATTTTATTAGCGTCCTCGCGAATTTAAGATTTATATTAAGTTATAATTACGTAATTTGAAGCACCTTTCTATAAAACACGTACATACTAACATATGTACTTTAAGGTGTTTAGATGCTCTACCTATATCTTTCTCCTATGCAATATTTTAGTCACATTCCGATTTGAGCAACCGACGCGCGTGGACGTGCTCATTGTTCGTTCGATTGCCCGACTTCGGTTCGTGGCACATCTGGCGTCCAAGTGTTTTGTCGGAAGTGACTACCGGTGATAATAGATCATTGTTCGTGGCACATCTGTGGCCCAAGTGTTTCTCGGAATTTGTACCTGCGCCTAATTGCAAGGCATTGCCGCCCGGGAACTGTGCAGTGGTTCTATTCACTCTAATTCTATTCTATATATTCTATTCACTAAAATTTCTAAAATTCCTAGAATCGCTTCGGCCAATTTAGTGTTACCGACGCAGGGGCCTCGCCGCAAGGCGAGCGCGTGTTTAAGTCCCGGGGCAGCCCCCCCTGGGCAGTGCGAAGAAATGGAGTTTTCTCCAACCAACACACTGCTCGCGGAATTCTTAAGCGAGAAATACCCGGCCCTCGAATCAGAATTTTTAGCTTACAAAGCTAAACGCGCCGTGAACTGTTCTGCCGTGCCCGCCGCGCCCGCCGTTTCCGCCACGCCTGCCGTTCCCGCGTCCCCTGCAAGCGCGCGCAAAACTCCCGCGCCGTACACCGCAGCCTCCGTCGCGCCCAGCACACCCGTGTCCCCCATACTGTCGCGAAAAACTCCCGCGTCTACCGCGGCAGCTTCCGTT